CCGCCGCCTGCGGGACGGTTCACCTCGGAGGAGCCGACTCCGTCTGGCATTGCGTGCTGCTAGTCTGACCTCGTCGCGCCCAATTACTCGTGTGCTCGTAGGGTCATTCGACGGACGTGCCGCGCCTACCAGACTTGTGTGTCTGTCAGGGAGGCGGTGGGTTTATTTTCCGCCAGTCATTTAATTGCCACGGGCCCGACTGTTTACCACTCTCGTCTGTCTGTGCGCGCGCTCCTGTTTTGTTTGGTCGTCTGATGAAAACATCCTGACCTCAGCTGCGTTTGGTGGCAGCACTTTTATGCTGGCGAAAAAAAATAAGTCGGGCGCTCATCAGCTCGACCTTTATGCAGAAGGCGCAGAGACATGCGATCGTGACCGTCTGTTCGACTGGCTGGCCCCGCTGACGGTGCCTTTCGCCCGGGTCACACTTTCGTCGTTTTTTCAGCATTTGGCGCAAGTGGCAAAAGAACCGAGGCGGCACAAGACTGAAGTACAGACCGCAGACTTGCGTAGTGCTCCTGCCTTCACGGGGGGGCAACTTTTAGCGAAATGGTTCGACTGCCCAAGGGCACTGAAGTCCGCACCGCCCACGATGCTGTTTTCCATGCATTCTTGACCGCAGGACAGTCTTCAATCCGCATTACTGTCGCCACAGCCAATCAGTCAACCTACTAGACTTCATACAGCCACAATGGAGGCGAAAGTTTGAGTTCCAGATGTAGGTATGAGAAGAAAACTGGTCGGGCATCGGAACAGTCTATTTATTGTTCTGAGCTTTAGAGCTCGTGCAGCAGTCCATCGTCAGAGAGCGACGATTGTAGAATGTACTAGCCAATCATCGATCGGCGACGCAAGGCTGGTGGTGGCTGCGCAGGGCCCTGTACGCCGGCGTCAGATCGATAAACCGAATGACTGAGTTCTCGCCTGAGGCCCAGGATTCAGTCAATTCTCGACCTGCTTAATTAAAGGCGTGGGCGGTTATCTTGATGGCTGCGAAGTTAAATTCATGACCAAGTAAAGAAGAAGAAGAAGACTGATCGGGCACCGGAACAGTTTATTGTTCTGAGCTTTCGAGCTCCTTCAGGAATCCATCTTCAGAGATATTGGCAACAACAGAGCAAGCGACAATCGTAGGGCTGTGTTAGCCAATCATCGATTGGTGAGGTAAGACTGAAGGTGGCTGCGCAAGGCTCCCTACGCCGGTGCCCATTCTATAAATCGATTCACTGAGTTCTCATTCGAAGCTCGGGCCTAAATCAATTCTCGGCCTGTTTTGTTTCCGGGTTGAACGATTAACTCGGTGTCTCCGAAGTTACATTCATGGCCCATTTAGTAGGTGTGGGCAGCCATTTGTGATAATTTGTCGCTTCGTCGCACAGCCAGCATGCGTCCTCAGTTGAGAACTCAGTGAATCGATTTGTCGGTCTGGCGCCGGTGTACAGGGTCCTGCGTAGTCACCTCCAGTCTTGCGTCATCGATCGGTGATTGGCCATCACCCCCTATAACTTCCGCTCGCTTTGCTACTTCTGCCATCTCTGTTGATGGACTCACTCACGAGTTCGTGAGCTCATAACGGTGCTCGAACCGCGACAATGTCTTTAACTCCAATGTAGGTCACGATAAATAGAGCTTTCGTTGTTACGGTTTCGGCATCTGGATTCGCGCTCTGCTTCCTAAGTGTTTGCCGCTAGTCCAGCCTGCATTGCAACCATGCAGAGCGACGGTTTCCTACCAAATATAGACGATAGTAAGCGTAAATTGGACCGGTTTTTGTGGACAGGTTCAGCATTCATCGGACCTTTTCGTTGTGGAGTCACTGGTCCTTCCGTGTCTCCTCCGAACCCTATAATTTGTTGGCTAGGGTGGCTACCCAAAAGCGTTTTTTAAACCAGATGCATGTTCTTCTCCTGGGTGATGTATAAACGATTGAACTGAAGAACGTAATCTTCTCCTATTCCTGACCGGCTGTCTATGGTCCTCACAGTCTGGTGTGTGCTGGCGCCCTGTACTGGTCTCCCAGTCATCCTAGTTGTCTTTCTGGCTCTTTGTCGTGCTGTTGTTGTTGGCTAAAGTCCTGGTCGGCTGTTCGTTTGATGTGGACCAGGGGGTGTGATGGTACGACTTGGTGCGGGCCCGGCCGCCTGTGCCCTGTCCCGCCTCCAGTCTTCTTGACTCTGTCTTGACACCGGGTCGAGGTGGGGAGTAGGAGGAGTGAGTGCGGTAGATGCTGCGCAAGTCTACTATCGCTATAAACTAGATCACGCGCAAGTCACTGTCCCTGCCCTCACCCTTGCTGTGGAGCACACGCTGGACATCGTCGGCACGACGGCCGAACTGTCGTATAAACACGCCCTGGCGTCCTAATCTAACTCACAACCAAAAAAGCGGCAACCGGTTGGCAGTTATTCCCGGTTTGTCACTCATCTGCAGACAATTTCGTGCACGCTAGGACCTGTTCACTTTTGACGCGCGTTAAGATGCGAGTGATGACGCTCTTCTCAGCTCGGTGTATGCAAATTCTGTACCACCGGAATTATTGCTGGTCGCAAAGTCTGAGGCTGAAGTTGACTGTTTACGATAGTGACGAACTTCGCGCTTCATATTGACCAAACTGTGAAGAACTCGGCGCCTCGGTGGGATTCGAAGCCGCAACAGCAAGAGGAAGGCTGTAGTACAACCAACGCCCTAGTCACCTCAGCTACGAGACCTCACCGGGAGACGTGAGTTTAATCACATTTGGGTCATCAAAGAATTTAGCGTTTGTCAGCATTATAGTAATATTGGCGGGGATTACGATGTTGGCTGTAGTAATAGTAGTAGTAGTAGTAATAGTAGTAGTAGTAGTAGTAGTGGTAGTAGTAGTAGTAGTAGTGGTAGTAGTAGTAGTAGTAGTAGTAGTAGTAGTAGTAGTAGTGGTAGTAGTAGTAGTAGTAGTAGTAGTAGTAGTAATAGTAGTAGTAGTAGTAGTAGTGGTAGTAGTAGTAGTAGTAGTAGTAGTAGTAGTAGTAGTAGTAGTAGTAGTAGTAGTAGTAGTAGTAGTAGTAATGGCGAGAGTTCGAAAAACCGTGACCCCGTGGTAGAAATTTATGTTTTCCTTTAAACACACCTTCCTTTTGCCGCCTTCGATATCCTCTTGTACCTGCGGGCCCTCCATGAAAAGTCATTATAACACGATATTGCAGCAACGCCCACACAAAGTGGCCAATACTGTTTTCTGATGCCACACGCACTTTGTTTTCTCCAGTCCCCCAAGCAACCATGCGGATTTTAAGTATTGCATAAGTACGAATTAATGTCAGTCCTGGTTCTTTACGGTACGGCCCCTACCTGTTCATCGGCAGTTTGGGGAATAGACTGTTTTCTGTCGGACAGCAGCTAACAGTTTGCTGCCGTGATACTGGCGAGTCGAATGCTGCGAAGACGGGCGTGGGAAAAAACATCATTCCAGCCAGTCTGGCTTGCGTGCGTGCGTGCTCTTCGGTCTCCACGGGCCACTAGCAGCGCGTTCAGACGGAATGCCTGAACAACCTTCAGGCATCAGGGTTATGTCTGAAGGTCGCGCTGTCTTGTTTTCGCCTGGCGACGCTCCACGTCTAGAGGTCATCGCTCGACCAATTAAATCGCACGCATGTCCACGCGCGTCGTCTTTCTGTGCATAAAAGCAGTCTCGCCTTCACCCGTCTTGGCGCGTGCGAATGGGCCGGTCCCTGGGAGGTGAGTGCGATTTTTGTCTCCTACGCTATCCCGTTTTTATGATTGTAACCGGTAATTTAAAAATCTTATAGGGCCTATGCCAGCTTGTCATGAACACCTCTATGTTATACAGCTCCAGTAGTGGATTCGTGTTGCAGATAAGTCTCGTGGTGAATTGCTTTCGCTTTGTTGTGCTGGCACGCATTTAGCGGACAGCAGTGTTGCCTTACCCGTGAACAGACTTTTGCGTGCTTTGTCACTGGCGCCACCACCTATTCTGTCGAAATTTGGCACGTGTGCGGGACGCGTAGACGGGGTGTCTATCTTTGCCAGCCATTGCGCCCGAATCCATCTCTGGTCGCCTTGATGGTTTCTTGTAGTCACAGGGGGAGTATGTGGTAGATGCTGCGCAAGTCGCCGCTGCTTCGCCCATCCTGTGGGGTACACGGTGAACGTCGTTGTCCGTGAACCTCAAGCACTCACAGAGCGAGGCTTGTGCCATAGCGGTCTCCGCGACCGATCTCCAGACGGCATAGCTTTTACTCATCAGTGATCTCACTAGAGAAAGAGAAAGTGAGACCGACCTAGCTCACAATTTCTTCGTCACCTAATGCGCTCTTCAAACAATTACGACTAGTCAAATGTTGTGGCCTAGGAGGCTGCCAACAAACCGATTAACTCGATTGTCCAGCGGATTAGACTACGGTCACTACCGCCATGGTTCCTTTACAGCCTGAACAGAGATTCAAGACTTCTTCCTAAGGCCGGACTCGTGTGCGTTTAAGGGCCATCATTTGAGTGACGTGCGTAACCACGAATTCGGTTGCATCAGCCATTGCGTCCTCGTCTTGCGTCCTGGAAACGTGACGGGTGTTGGTGAATCATTTGGGCCTCTGAAGCAATATGCCACATCCAGATGTCACAGCCGGAAGATATGCGTCGTGTGACAGTTTTGGCATTCTCTATTCTCCTTACCTGGTCGTTAAAATCTCCTACTAGTTCTTACTTACGAACAAGGGATTCGACTGACGTCATGCACTGAAATACTCAGTGTCTGACCGCCTCTTTCGTGTGTTAACGTTTCAGCGGTTGAGTAGCACGGGGTAGCTCGACTGTCGCAGGCACCCGTTTAGTTCGGAATAGCCCCGGCCACGACTTTGCGCGTCTGAACTGTCATAGTGAGAACTCCTCAGGACCCAAACCTGCCAGTCGACCGCAGATGAGATCTGGCTTCCAGGCTGGCTTTGGCGTTAAAACACTCGTCTACGCGTGCCTTTCTCGTGCTCGCCCTTCGCCACATAGTCCTTCCATGACTGAGATGTTCACGTCCTGCCCGCCCACCACAGCCTTCATAATTTCGTGACCCCCGACGGCTTCAGTCAAGTTTCCAGTTGATGATACCCTTGCTCTCTCTACCTGTCTCTTGCTGTAGGGCCATCTCGTATGTTCACCCGCCGGCCCACACCATCCCCTTCCTCGCAGCGACCGCCTCCATGCTGGGCGTTGTGGTCACCTACCCGATGGCCCTCATCCGCTCGAAGATGCAGGCCTCCTTCTACTGGAAACAGCCCCTCCATGCCGGCGGCAACCCGCACCCCAAGCTCACCCTGCCCAGTCTACTCTCGGCCATTTGGCGCGATGACGGTGTCATCGGTCTCTACCGGGGAATGGGCGCCAATCTGGTCAAGGTTCTGCCCGCTACTGCCATAAGCATGCTCACCTATGAGTCCATCCGGCGGAAATGCAACCTCGGTCCAATGGGCTCGGGGTAGAGTTGACCCAAACGGCCACCGCTCTTCCTCCTTCCTGCCATCGAGGCTCGCCCTTTGCCATTTTTTTTTTTTAAGCATGCACAAACACACAGAGGCCAGTTGTAGAGGATGACGACAATGACTACGCCGACGATTATTACTTTTCTTTAGTTACTCTTCAAAGCTCCAGGTGGATGAATGGACCCCCGGTGCGTCCTGCCTGTGTAAAAAGTGACTATTCCTTAGTTCTATCGAAAACCCCTTCCCACCTCCTCCTGCTCCGACCCTTCTTGTTGTCTTCATTCCGTTGAACTGCGCTCCTTACGTGTGTGCTCTTGCGTATTCTTTATTATCGGTTTTGGCAAGCGACCTCTCGCTCTTTGTAACCTAATCAACATATAGATATATAAAATTTTATATCTCTGGCAGTGTTTGAATCTACACGGAATACTTTCATAGTAGTTCGAATATTTGCGAGTCGCCTTTCCGAGTCTTTAGGGGGAGGGGGGGGGGGAAGTGGGTACATATGCCTTCGATATTCACATTGCGTGCCTACCACTGTGTCAGCGACGTTTATGTTGGGGTCCGTAGTGTCGATCTCCTAAACGCGGAGCCCCACCTGTAACTCTGGCCTGCATCCTCCAGCCCTTGACACCTAGTCGAGAAGTGTTGTCAACAAAGACAGATGCGACTGGAGTCGTCGTTTCTACACTACGCGTCATCATCAGTTGGTCCGACGCCAGCGTTGAGCAGAACTGAAGTTTGGGCCCTCGCGATCTACCGTTTGGGTTGAGCCCTCTACCGTCCGAGCCACAGGTTCCGTCGGTTGCGGTCGGTTGTGTATGTTATGACCCGCGTGCCTACACTCCCAAAAACAAGAGCCAGCCAATCACGGGAGGCCACGTGCGTTTTCTCTACTGTGCTGTCATCTTAATCGTGGCGCCTCTCCAGTGGCTTTTCCTCGCGGGCCTGATCGATCAGCATATTCGAATTATCGACCGGCTCGTCTCGAATGTTCTTCCCGAAGGGCATTGGGCCGAACGCCGCGAAGCACCGTAAGGCGTTATAAATACGCGTTACTTCCAGTTCATTTTGACTTGCAATTTCCTAATACACAGTTTCGTGGCCGGTCGCGTTCTGCTTCTCTGCCGCGTTGATATTGAGGACAAGGGTCGAGTGCGAATACGCTCCACAGGATTTCACGTACCAGGCGGGTCATAACAATTGGCGACGCAGGTGAGATCCTGTGGAGCGTATGCGCACTCGACCCTTGTCCCCAATACCAACGCGGCAGGGAAGGAGAACGCGACCGGCCACGAAACTGTGTATTAGGAAATTGCAAGTCAAAATGAACTGGAAGTAACGCGTATTTATAACGCCTTACGGTGCTTCGCGGCGTTCGGCCCAATGCCCTTCGGGAAGAACATTCGAGACGAGCCGGTCGATAACTCGAATATGCTGATCGATCAGGCCCGCGAGGAAAAGCCACTGGAGAGGCGCCACGATTAAGATGACAGCACAGTAGAGAAAACGCACGTGGCCTCCCGTGATTGGCTGGCTCTTGTTTTTGGGAGTGTAGGCACTCCCAACAGTGTAGCAGCCAACCCTCACCAATAGGACTGCTCAGTCTCTTCCCTGTCCTCCGACGCAGATGGGGAATCGTCCGTATTCCGTCCCGCAGTCATGACAACACTCCCCTGTAACAGGCCATACGTCCCTAGCTCCTTCAGGACAGTCTCCGAGTTCGAACCTCCGGCGACTGGGCCGTGGCTGGCTGATAAGAGCGAATACGCCAGGAGCGGCTGGTCGCCGTACTAGCGTCTGTGCTGACTACCCTAGATCAAAACTGCAGGGCAGAGTTCTGTAATTAACACCGCTTGCACGTGCCTAGGTTACTTGACAGTTCGACCATCGTGACCGACGATGTCCACCTTGTGCCCCACAGAGGAGTGACTCGTGCGTGAATTAATTTACAATGATAATAGGCTTGCACAGAACCGAGCTCACTTCCCCCACCCGGGTCCGGTGTCGAGGAATAGTCAAGGAGACCGGAGGTGAAGGAGGGTGCAGTTGGATGGCACGGTGAATGAACCTGCGTCTAGGCGTACCACCACGCCATAGAGGTCGCATTATGACTACCAGTCGGCCACTCCACGCATACACTTATTTGGCCGACTGTCCAAGTTAGCTGTCAGTTGGCAGTTTTCTAAGCCAGGTCAGAAAGAGAAGGATTACACACAAGCCCCTGTACACTCAGCGGGAGCTTAAACACATCTATCGGCAGGAAATTAGGTGCCAGAGAGCTGCCCGCGCACACCGGGCTGTGAGGGCCATGGTTTGGTGGAAAATGGCATAACATACTCACGCGCGATGGGACGACGGCTTCCAATAGTCCGCGTTAACCACGCGCGGAAAAAAACAAGAACTATGCGGTGCTCGCGACATCTCGCTTGTCGATGGACTCATGTGTGCATACTTTGTCGCGGTGCGCCAAAAAAACTACGTATTTTGTGGAAGTCCGTTTCCTCACACGTTCATACCCGGAGAAGTATGTATGTTTCATTTCAGGGAGTCGAAATCACCGGAGTGCCCCTGAGTGTTTGCTGAAGCAACTGACACTGAGCACATGCCAATTACTACGACGCTCAGATGAGTAGGATAAGGTAGGCGTCGGGTCCTGTACAAAACAGTGGAACAATCAGTTAATAGAGCAGGTTGACACGCGTCTGCGCCTGTTGCAGCGGTCGTGTTTGACCTTGAGGGCTTTCACGTCGACCTTGGACTTGATTGGCCGGTGTGTGCGACTGTGATTGGCCAGGCAGGATACAGAGCCTTAAGTTGTCAACGATTGGTCAGACGCGATGACAGCATCACTTAATAGTGTAACGTCCTGCCGATCTGGGGGTTGCGTAGTCGTGGCGTCACTTCCGTCTCTGCGCTGCCGAGTTCAGTCCTTGATAACTCGTTCCTAAAGGGTCCATCAGTTCAGGCAATCCGGGGCGGGCACTCAGAATAAGGAGTGGCGAGCAAACAATAGCCAAGGGATAGAAATAAAGGTTTACTGGAATGCGGGCGTACTATTATCGAGAGGGGTAGTCGGGACTGGTAAACTAAGGTTACAGATGTAAACGGCAACACGAGAGTAGGAAAATCTGAAAATTACCAAATCTCCGTTCGTCAGTGCCGATTCACCACGTGTTCGGCCATGACGATCGATCTACGGAAAAAGGGATAATCAATTAAAATAAGGGGCTGGCTCATTAGGCCTGGCGGGTTGTTTCTAAAGCCTCACGGATGTCAGACGAACGAGCTGCCATTGGTGCGTAAGTGCAAGCAGGCACTAGACAGCAATTCAGTGTGACAGTAGACTAATGCCCGCAGTTTGAGTAATCTCAC